AGTATGATCTAATTTAAAAATATATATTTGTACGATCTAATAAATATAAATTGTTAAATGAAGTTTTCTTAGTTGTTTATGTACAGGAAAGTATTTTCCTTTCTATTACTGTTATATTTTACATTACTACAGTTATATTTCTATAGATTAATTTTCATCCAGTTCTTTGGTAAGGACGGGCGTCTGATCTGAAAATAATATGGAAATATGTTATTGAACCATGCACAATTAATATTTGTTCCTCTATTAACATTTTAAATATAATTATTGTATTAAAGGTACAACAAGCTCAATCCTCTTTCGTGAAAACATTCAAACACACATACATCGAATAAACTTCAAAGTGACGAAGAAGCTCTAATGCTCTTTTACTCGAGTCTAGTTCCACAGAATGTTTGTAAGACATCTCCGAGTTGAACACAAACTTATTTGATATAATTTATGTACTTGCATTATGACTCTTGAATTGGTTTCTGAATCTTAATTTATCTTTTTATAAAATTAAACCTGACGATTCTTACAGTAGTCATAGACAGTTAAGACAGTACATATGTATAGCAAAGAATAAAGTGTTTACAGAAACGTGATTATTTTGAATTTCCTTGAATTATTACTGTTACACATTCAAGCATATATCGTATTTATAATATTATAGACTGTACAAAGTACGATTTACTGATATGTAACATAATTAAACCGGATGTCATCGATGATTTAGTCCGATTGGCTTTTTTTAGACCCATAGAATGACATGGTATCCCACTGTCACAGTCTACAGGGTCAGTGGACTATACAATCACTTCAACAAAAGTGACTGTGTTCTAATAGTAGTAATAAAAATACATTGATATATAGTTTTGTGATAAATTATTATACAGCCTTTAGGGCATTTCGTTGTATGTTCCAATTATATATAGCCAATGTTATTTAAATAGATTTATCCATGCAAATTTTAGTTTGAAATAATTGGTATAAATGTCATGTCTATTATAACAATCAGTGTAGTATGTATGATATAATATAATACCGTGGCTTTACCGATTGTAACGTTTATTTGGGTCAAGCAAATCACAAGGAAACTGGTGTCAGGTATGAGGTTTTCCACGTTGAACAATACACATTCGAACAATTATATTCTTTGAATATTCTTAAAACAGTATTTCCTTCAAAAGTACAACAGCAGCACGACGTTCGTGAATAGGGAATGAGAGAATGTATGCAGAGTAAATATATTCAATGGACTTGATCGAATTTCAATATTCAAAGTTACAAAGTTTTGAAAACAAGCGAGGAATATGAAACACCCGAACAGAAAACATAGAATGAAAAATTCATCACATTCACAGGGTTTGATCTTACTACCTATGAAATACTATTCTAGTCGCTGTTACAATGAAGCGACTGCCTTTCAACACATTTTCATTATTTTATATTAATATTTTATTTACTGACCTAATAAAATCTAAGTTCTAGTCCTACTTTAGAATATTTATGTAAACAATATTACTATTACGATCATTTTTCACTATTAAATATAAGTCATTTGCTTAAAGTAGCACTCGAATAGGTCAATTTATTATTTGATATATAATTTAAATTATTTAAAAACTAACATGACATCGATACGACTTAGTTATCACCAACACTAAACGCGACATCTCACTGTTTGAATCCTATCTTCGATACATTTTTCATACTTATTATTTATTTGAATTTTAATTGATATGAAATTTCCTTTGCCTTGGAAAAATGAAAAATCAATTTAATTATATCATAAAAGGTTTTCTTGGCTATTTTCTTCCTATCTCGTTCCATCTCAGAATTTAAGTGACTCTTTTTAAACGTTCGCTTCACTATAAACATTTTCCTTTTTAATGGAAAATAGATACCATATAAAGTGAGTGTCATAAATCAACTGAGAAATAAATACAGTTTGATCTGTTCACTATTATTAGATATTTATAAAGAAAGGAGTAAGGATATTTACTTGTCTAGTGATTATCGTCCAAATCTAAAAATTGTTTTAAGTAAATTACTACAAACATTTGTAGAAGTCTTAATCATAAGATGACTTGTCTTGAACTAATATGAATTGAGCATCAATTATTAAGAGACATCACAGAATAAGATTGACTTATATATTTATTTGTCTTCTGTTATATTACTCGAAACATAACTTGAGTATGCATTTGATATAAAAAAAACTTAATATTAACTCCAAAACATTTTTATGTTTTTAAAGGCGAAATGTTTTTAAAGCTGAAATGTTTATTTTGTATTTTTTATAAACACAACTGCTGTAATTAAATTCCAGTTATTAATTTTTAACAGCAAAACTAACAAAATAGCAATAATGATCAAATTAAGTAGGCTTCTATGTCGTATTTTTCTTTTCGTCTCCTGATATTATTTGGATACCATTAGGACGAACCGAAAATTCTTACAAGAAGAATGTCTACTCTTCCAATAAAATACAAACGATAAAAACCCTTTGTGATTTTTTAAATTTCTCTACATTCAACATCACATTGTAAAACATTTCATAAAGTTACTTCTAAGGTTTACTTGCGAGGAAGTTATTTAAGTTCTTCTCTAGAACGTCGTAGGAAACGTAATAATTATTTATTAAATGTGAACCGCTATTCTTTAGTTCGCATTTCAATATTACAACAATACGTTAAAGTCTGTCTTCATACAATAGAAACTTCACATAAAATAGTTGACTTTTCAGAAAGGGAATTTATTTATTTGTACTTTTCAATTTATTCTTGGAGTCTTTTATTTTACACAAGTCAACTTCATCGCTGATGACAAATTTTCGTTTATTTCATCTGGCCAGGCGTCGGTCAATGACCTTCCTATTCATGTTTGTTCAAGAGCTAGAGCAAATCATCTTTATCACAGCTGACCTTAAATCTTTCACCACTTTTATTAGCTTTTTCTATAATAAATCTTCATTAAGTGCCTCTAGTATTTCTCTATATAATCTAAATCCAAATCCGTATCTCATAGTCTATCAGCTGGTGGTCATTCATCAGTGGTATCCAGACGACTGTTCATCGATCAGCGTCAGTCCCAGACACTTTCATAGCACCAGCTGTACAAATGACATATAAACGAAATAATATATACATTAAACTACTGCCATTTATTCTTGAGACTAAGTTTTATACATTTAGTAGAAGAAAAAACCACAGCCTACATCATCGCATGACTTTCAATAACTCTTTGAATATCAAGAATATTATAAATGCGAAAGTAACTCTGCCTGTCTGTCTGTTACGCTTTCACGCCTAAACCACTGAACTGATTTTAATGAAATTTGTTACAGAGATAGAGTGGACCTTGAGAAAGAAGTTTTTATCGCAGACTTTTGAAAGGTTCTCTTGGAAACGCGATATAACCGAACTACACGCGGGCGAAGCTGCGGGTGGAAAGCTAGTATAATATATATTCAGTTTTCCGGCCGGTTTCATTGATTTTAACAATATTTTTCTTTTCAATTGCACTGATCCCGGTCAAGAGGTTCTTATGTTTGAGAGAAACTTAACAATGACAAATAATTTTTATATAATATATACCTCACTAACATGTTGATACGTCTCAAATTGATTTGCACTTTTCATAAATAAACTCGTGTTTCATAATAAAAGTTATTTCCAATTGATTAATGTTATTTATAAAGTAATTAAAGTTATATATGATAGAAAATTAAAGGTTGTAATTTTCATATAAGTATTTAAAAAGGATCAGATAATATATTGAATAAATCAATGAATATTTTATAAGGTTTATCTTTTAGAAACAAAACAAAAATACCACAATAAGTATGTTTGATTAACTTGAATACACTTTTCTTATCCTTAAATAACACTTAAACGAAAAAAATAAATTGAAATGAGAATTTAAAGGTAAAGTAACAATTTACTACCGAAAAAGCGAAATGTTTTTCAAAGCACATTCTGTGACAATAGTTTTTTTAACAAAAAAACATTTTCATTTTAAACCGAAGACAATAGAAGCCAAGAATGTACATATATGAAATGTTGAAAATTCGCTTTTTAAATAAGAGTTTTGGTATTCGCAAGACAAATAATAAAAGTCTAATATGAAAAACTCCTTGTGAAAATAATATATGTATATTATAAAATGTTTTAAAATATACTTTTATATCTTTAAGGAAACGAATAATGCTATACATATATATATATATATAATTTAATATTAAGACCCAAATTTTACAAATAACCTTTGTACAGTAAAATGTTAGAATGAAATTTAATATTATAATAATTGTTTAATAATTTTGTTGGGTAATAATTTTCAATTTATACAAAACCAAATCCAAATTAAATACGATGCGAACATCGAAACCCTTTTAAAAATACAGTCATCAAACGCAAAACAATGGTTTTTGTTTAAAGTTATATGAATATAAATAAAAATGATAATAATTATATAGAAATATATGATTCTGGCTCTCCTTGTAGATGAATCTTCAAGCATTTTTTATTCCTGAAAACCTGTTCTGAACAATGGGAATACAGAGCTGATATGATTCAGCTGTTCTTTGCTGACTCAAAATAATATTTAGATAATTTAAAAATAAGCATTAAAACAGGCAATACAGTTCGAATATATTTATTTTATATGTCTCTAGTACATTTAAAATTTGAATCTTTAACATCAACTTTATATAATGTTTAATTTTTTATATTTCTCATCAAATAATAATATAATAATCTTATTATAAAACACTTTAATAACATCTATATAGTATTAATAGTTAATACAGAATCCTCATTTAATATTTATTCAATTTTGTCGAATCAATTATCCGATAATACCCTAATGTATTAGGGTTGTCACATCATTGAAAATCTGACAGATTTTAATATAAATATTGTTTTTTAAAACAGTGTTTGTTACATTTTATCCTCTACTTGAAGTAATACATAACGACGTCATCGAAGTTTGGTAACATGTCATTGATCTCGTACTTATATTTGGTACTCGGTGTAATCCCATTTCCATGTTTTGTTGATGCTGTTGTCGTAGACTGGAGTCGCTGCTGGTGACTTTACAGCCTCTGAAGCCTGGAGGGCATAAGAAACAGAAATGTTGAATAAATAGCACATAAATATAGCTTTTATAGTCCGCGGAAACCATACAAGTAAAGTCAAGACGCAATAGCTTAGTTTGTAAAGCAACTGAAATGTAATTCTTCGGAGGTTAGAGATTCTAATCCTCCTCGAGTAGGTGAATTTTCACCCTTTTCTTCAAATGTTTTATACACACACTAAATACTATATCAACATATTATAACCATAATTGCAGTACAACCACATATAAAATTGTAAAACAGTAGCGTATTTAATACAATCGCATATTTTAATTATTCCCGACATTTATTTAAACACCACAATGATCCAAAGAAGCTCTTTGAACGTTTTAGTCTTTCATTAAAAACTTATTATTAGCACATAAAATATATTACTAAGTATATGTGCTTAAAATAGGCTTTAATGAAAAATCGCAATGTAAAAGTGATGATCTATAAATATATACATAGAAGGATACCTCTGAATTGAGTCTTGGGATGAATTTGAAACAAATATTATGGCTAATGGAAAAACTTTTCGTGTCTTTACCTTAATAAGAGACTCAGATTTGTATTAGGGTAAAATGAGTTTTCATTTCAGGTTCGGGTGAAGCTTGAACTTATATAGAATACGTAATAGCTTTACTGTTCTTACATCATTTAATAACAACTATTATGCATTGAAAATTTAAGATAAAATAAACACAGCAAAGATCTCAGAGAATATAAAATATAAACATATACCCTGATAGCAATTCATAATAGAAGTGACTTTATTATACACGGAAGCCATATAAAATATTTGATAAATAAAATATATATTATAACAATAAACGCAAGCATGATTCGCAGTGCATTCGTGAAGCATATTCATTAAATAATATTTAAATGAAACTAATATCTTTTTATATACGCGTGCTTTATATCCTAATAATATTAGTTTCATTTATTTGTCATTACTATCGTGTTTTTCAAGGGCAGAGTTCCCAGCGGTGGTCCTAGAGGCTCGTATCGGTCGTCAGAGAGGCCGCTGTCAGGAGAGGAGGTGTCAGGAGGCAGTTCATTCATGTAGCCATGTGAAGCTCGACTCTTGTTGACGCAGTAGTCCCCAGTGAATGGGTTGCGGTACGCCACCACACTCCTGGGACAAACGGACATATCAATATAACACTGAATATGAATGCTTCAAAGCTTATAACGAAGTTATGGCCTGCTTTGTTTGCTTATTAACTATCGACTGTTCATTTAACCCTTCACTTTGTTCTAGTATGAACATTCGTTTGAAATACTGATAGTATACACTACACTGTATAAGTGAAATGTTTTTATTTTATGTAACTCCCTTTAATATACGAATTCATCTTACATTTATGATGTAATTTATTGAGCATTAAGGCATCTATAGTTTTAATTCCTAATGATTACTTTTCATATATTTATAAATTAATCAATCTCTTATATTTCTTAAATAATTACTATTTTATTTTAAAACGAAAAAAAAATATCAAATATACCGAAAAGATAACAAAAACATACACTAAACAACAATCAGTTTACTTTTCTAGTAAAACATTTAAGTACATGACTGGACATGTCCCGATATATATGTATACATAATATGAAAATCTATCCTACAATACCTCAACTGTTCATTGCCATCTTCTTCATTTTTATGAGAAAACAGTACTTTAGTCGGTCTCAGAAAGATTGCTACCTGAAATATTTATAAACATTTACATCAAGTCTTCATAACAAAGCTAATATTTACTTCAAGTTATATTTATTTCGACCCAGCTAATTATATTTGTAACCTCCCTACCGAATCAATAAACATACTAACTTGCCCATTCTGTTGCATTCTGTGCAGCCTGTAAATGCAAAAGCCGCAAGTGAACAGAATAAGAAGAAACTGAAATCATAACAAGAAGTTTAAGAAGAATTATATTTACGAGATGATCTTGAATCATAAAAAGAAAATTACTCTTTGTCACTGTTTGAACTAATAAAACCATCTGATTCACAATCTATATTTAAAATTATTATCATTTTTTTGTTTCAATCTATCTAAACTTGTAAATTAGATACCTACGTAAAAATATTCTGTTGAAATATTTTAAAAATTACATAAAATCTATTTATTATACTCACCAATACACTGAGTAGTATGATATCAACGTATATTATAATCATATTTACACTTAAACACAATCACTTAATCATTTTGGAAGTAACTTAGGAATAACACGAGAAACTCTTGAACTGAGGGTATGTGTAACAGTCTAGGAATTATCACCTATGTCCAGCCATTGGTTAAAACAATGGCAAGCCATGTTGTGATAGGTGAATACCACGAAGTTACCAGAAAACAACCAATTGGGTTATGCTACAGTTCTGATAACGTAGCATCTCAGCTTTCGTCAAAGATTATGTCGTACCAGAGCGTCCCGAGTGAGTCATGTACAAATATATTTTTATCAAAGCAATATAAAAGTATTATGTATAGGAAATATTTTACTAACAAACAAATCTAAATAGGTTCCGTATATTTTTGAGAACTTAAGCATGTTATATATAAAATTATTTGTAATTATTTTTATTGTTTCATTTATAGCTATTGTATATTATTTCATATCTACCACCTCTGGTTTGTGTGTATTCTATGAACAGTAGCGTCTACTTGGCGCCAGTACTGGCGCGTCGTCTGCCTCCAGGACACACATCGATCTACTCTTGGCTCTTCGCTAACTTTAAAATTTAATTTTAATTTAGTCACCGCAGTCTAAAACAGATCGTGGTTTACTTGAAAAAGTATATTTATCTATTTTTCTGTGTCTCAGAATGAAATTTTGAGCTCACAATTGAGCGACATATTTGTATACCGCAAGTAATATGTCTCTGTTCGTTCACAATAGACTTGAACAGGAAATAATTTTAATTGTGTATAGAATACGACAAACCGCAACATAACACAGAAGTTTCCGAATCAATGACGGTGGTGTGTCCCATGTTATAATGAACTGATGGAACTATAACTATGTCTGTCATTTAATTACGTTTATGGTTGTAGTAGAAATTACTTATACAGAGATGTGAAGCTGGTTTTGTTTTATGGGACGGGCTTGAAGTATTCGAGACTACTTACGATACTGCCAATGATTTTAGTAAAATGTTCATGTCGATTTTGTCAGGGTTAAAAAAACTACACTACCTTTATGATCTATAAATCAAGCTTCTAAAACTAACCGCTAACTAATTATTTTTTTTACTCGTGAGTTGTTCTATCGTGGCTTACAATAAACAGTCTAGAAATCTAAACCTGAAAACTAGTTTCATCACAACATATAAGAAAAAAAATAATTAAAATTGTCAATTCATATTAATAATGATATGATTTTTTTTTATAACTTCTTCATTACCTCTTATCGTTTTTTATACACTGTGTAAAATAGAATTGAGTTTTTTATTTGTTCAAAATATTAAAAAATACTGTTTAGTTCCATATAAAAAGGAAAAGGACTTTAAAATCTCTATATGACTTTTCATACATAACGTTCCTCTCAAAGACTCATAGAGGGAAAATTTTAAAATTATTATGATCTTAATCATGATATTAATATGAGAAGCAAAAAACTTTGTATCTATTTGAAAGAGAACTTCACTAACGGATGGACGAGGAATTTAACACAGACAAAGTTAATACGGAGAAGTATACGAAAATATTTAGACGAAATGTATACATAAAAATATTATTTTACTTTAGCTTTGGTTGCATTCACACTGAATATGTGAAATGTTGTAAGGAAGCATATTAAATTATTAAAATACTAGTTTTTGCTCGTGACTTCGTCCGCGTTAATTTCGGAATTCATAATATATGTATAGCTGACCGAGCGAAGTGTATTTCTCTTTAAAAGCAGTAGATAAGAAGATTTTGAATTTGAACAACTTATATATTTTTTTCCTTATTCGATCGTATGAAAAGTGTCCTTTCCCTTGTTCTAAGCTATCTGGAGAGATCTTCATCCAAACCCGTACAACCGTTCTTGTGTTATAAATAGTATAACTAACATGATCTTTTATACATATAGATAAACATTATAAACAGCCTACCATAAGTTTGACACGTAATAACATTCTTTATTTATTGTTATCCACTTTTAAAGCTGAAATAACCAAATATATCACATTTTCATACAAATGAGGAATATTTTTCTCAAATATCTGGGATTTAAAACGTTATGTTTAAATTTAAATCTCACATTAATATTATTTTATATATAAAATATATAACGATATATTGCAAATGTAACTGAAATAAGTATTATAAAATCAAATAGAATGAAGTAAAATAAAATTAAGTGAATAAATTGAACAGACACAATGTAACAGAAGACGGCAAAGCTTCAGCAGCTTACGGAGGCAGACTGAAAATAGATCTCATTGAAATATATTATCATGACTTGCATACATCTGAATGCACATACATCTGGAAATGTAATGAGGATTTATAAAGACGCCAGCTCCTCTATTGTAAAAAGTATTACGGTTAATTATGGAAACTTTATATACCGGCTTATTGAATATATGAACTAAAATGAAACGGAACGACGTAGAGTGAAAACTAGTACAAATAATTATTGAATTTAATAACTAAAAAGCTGATCTAAAATCAGATTGTCTTCATTCTATATTCGATGTGGACGAACTTCAAATAAAAGTGAAACAAGTCAGGTATATGTTTGAATACTCGTTTGTAACAAACATCTGAACACATTTCCATCGCCTACTCTGTGTCACACACAACATATCATGCGATTCACTAGGAATGCTATTTTCACAATCAGCCGGTGTGATATTGCTCCGTACTCTATTACCATATTGTATAATGTAACAAGATCTTACTAAATAATATCGTCTTCACATTTTTAAGTTTGATTCTCAAATCTAATAGTATTTCCTTTGACATCATATACAATACTTTACAGATCTTTGTTCAATAATCCATAAACGTTTACGAATTCCACCGATTTTAATGATATAAGTTAGACATTTAATTCAGCTATTGTGTATATATTGTTATCAAGAGTTATAGTTGACAAATAAATTTAAGAAACGAAATGATCGTAGCGTGCAGTAACAAGAGTCCCGTGTTGGTTTTGGCACGTAGTTTAAAGCTCACGGGCCATGAATAATTTAGTTGGTGACCGCGGAATATGTGAGGCTGTCGGTGACTACAGGCACATGCATGTTTCAATAACTATACAGATTTTTACCGAATATATAACGTTTATATTATAAAGGTGAGGAATTTTATTGGAATGTAATAAAGTTATTACCTTTTATATATGTTTCTTGTTTACGAAGTGAGTGAAAATAATAACTCTTCTTATAAGATAGAAATTTAGTTAGAGTCAATTAATAAAATCATTTATTTTCTATAAAATTAGAATATAAATATTAGAGGGACTCCACGTGAATCATTTTAACGTGTCTAAATTTAATGTACTTTTTATTTAACTTTATCATACTAAATGAATTATGGTCGTGATAAATGTGATTTAGAAGTGGGAGAATAAAACTTAAAAAAAATAGTTCTTGGTTATCGTATATCCGTAGAAATGTAGACTCGTTACAAAGAACACTGAGACCAAACGAGGAAATAAGGTACGAAAATCAGGACTTATATTTCTGTATAAGGCTCGTCAGTGATACAACGGTCATAACTTGTTGCATTCATTTTCATCAATGCGATACATATAAACGAAATAGTTACCGCATTTTAATTCACTTTATAGCAAATTTTTCTTCAAAATAAATGAACTTTACAAAGTTTTTGTTAGCAGACTCTAGTGCGAAACCGATCGATCAACACTCCACGATGTTAAAGGAAAGTCGAGAATTACAAAGTGGCCCTTGGTGTGGAGCAAAGAACAGCTTACGACACCTTATAATGGTTCACGAGCTACTTAGGTCTTAGAAATTTATCAAAATTGACACTGTATTGGCAGAAAATTATTCTTATACTTTAAAATTATACAACACACTGACAATGACATAGGTTTAACAAAAAAGGTCTTTATTAAAGTAGAATATTTATAAATATTACTACATATATGTACCGACTGTTTTGGTGTTTTGGAGAAAAGTCACCGATAAGAGAATCATTACATCAACATATGGAAGCGAATTTGTAAACAGTTCATGTTTATTATGGAATTGAAACACGTAACGATCGCTTTCCTCGACCACGTGGAACGATGTTTTGTTTCTTGACATTGAAAATAGCAAAACAATATAATAGAAAAGCAATTGAGAAAAAACATAAGTATATTTATATGAATATATATATTGTTGTGAGTGTGATACATGTAATACAAAGGGCGCTCCTTCATTGATCAAATCATTGCCATTACTCCGTTGCTAGAGAGTTCTCTAAAGAGCTATATTAGATTTGGGAACGTTTTTTATATAAGCGATCTTCGACCACTTTACTTTAGTATGATCCATTCCTTACATTACACATACATATATAATGAAAAAAGCTATTAATACATTCTTTTTAATAAATTAAACTATCAACTATTGCTGTTACTTATTTCAATTTCTTTTCTCGAATACTAGGTAAAGAGTCTGAATGGATTCACGAAGTAAATTACCATAAATAATGAGGGAAGTTATATCAAAAGAATTATGGAAATAAACTATCCACATCCCGAGTCGCGTTACAAAGTTTTCAGTTTAAATTGCTTCTTTCAACAATAATTCAGATAATATTAAATCTTTCCTAAGCTTCTACCTACATCGTTTTATATTATAATTGTAACATTTCAAATAGCATCCGTAAAACATTTGATAAGT